GGCCGCGCGGCTGCCTCGCACCGCCGCTTGCGCTGGGGCCGGGGCCTCCTTTGTGTTTCCCTGGGCAGAGCGGGGTAAATCTTCCTGCGACCGCGTGGTGGTGGTGGCCTTTCCGCTACCGGCTCCGCCTAGCAGCGGGCAGGCGCCATTACAGCGTCCGCCATTTCTGCTGGTGCCCGCTGCCGGGGCGAAGAGGCCAGGGCTGTGGAAGTTATGTAACGCCGCCGCTCCCCCACCCGGCGGCCAGCCTGGATCGCCGCCGCGGGCGGGCGTCCGGGCCGAGAGCGACCGAGCGAGAAGCGGACGGCAAGAGTCGCTGCGCTCCGGAGGGAGCGAGGCTGAGGCGTGCCGGCGTTTCCCAGCTCTTGTATGTTTCTGGTAGCTGGTGCCGCCTCCTGCCTTTCGCTGCAGGCTTATCCTTTCGGTGTTTATTAAAACATGTCATTAGTCAATCCCGCGACCTCGATTTACCTAGCAGAGCGCGGGAACTGAGAGCGCCTTACCTGCACGCGCCTGGGGAGGTTTGTCTAGGCGGGTAAATACATGCGGCTAGGGGAGAAAAATTCCCAAACAGTACATGACAGTTCATTCACCGCTGCCCTGAAATTCTTACATAGTTGTAAATAGAGTAACCGGGGTCCTAAAGGGCTATTTAAAACGTGTAAAAATCTGCCCGGCCCCTCCCTCACATAGCAGCGTTTTGACAACGTTTTCCTGAGGTTTCGCTGCCTTTAAATCTGTGTGTGTCCGTAAGCTCACTTAAGTCCCTGCAAAGACCGTCTGGGAAGGCAGTGCCTGCTGTTATCCTGTACAAGCAGGGCAACAACTGCAAATTAGCAGCTGGCTGACAGTATGTTACAAAAGTTACATGCACCTCATTTTTTTTTCCTCCTCTGTGGATATCGGAATGAGTGGCCACCATTTGTTGAGACAATGGATATGGATAAAATACAGTTCTGATTTGCTGTGTTATCTAGAAACTCATTCTTGAAGAGAGAACTTGCAAAATTTCTTTTGTCTAGACTCTCTAAGGTGATTTACTAGTGCTCAGAGATCAGCTTAACGAAAGCAGATCACAAATACAAATAAGATTCCCATCTCAGAAGATCCTAGTGAAGTTCAGCTGCTTTTGAGGTTCTTGCTTGTTTGTGTGCAGAGGATTATATGTAACTACGGAGGGGGGTATTTTTAAAAAATGTGTACCCCAGTGTGGCTAGAAGTTGTAATTTGTGTTTTGTTCTCCTATTATGCTTGAATGGAAAGAGGCTAAAATGCCTTCTAGTACATGTTAGCGAATTTATAAACCTAACGCAAGACACTTTTTTTTAGTTTCAATTGTTTAGATCTAAACTGCAGGAGCAGATTGTTATGTGTAGTGTCCTTTAAAAAGTAAATCCAAGGCACAAGGCATGTGCCATATAACATATTGAAAATTGAAGCTGGATGCATATTAATTTTAACTATCTAAAAGTAACTTTGAGTAAATGTGGCTACTTAAGACTGGCATGTGTCTAAAAACTGTAATTCAGACAGTAATTGTCTGAAGGTTTACAGACTTCCCTTTTATCTCCTCTTAGTGGTGTGTTTGGCCTGGATAATGCTTTCTCAAGAAAAACTTTGCAGCAAAAAACTGAGGTCAAACCTCTGTTTTTTAGCTGTAGTGAGAATCAGAGCTGTAGGTTAGTAGCGTCACAACTGATAAATGCTGTTTTCATAGGCTCTTGAAGTGATAGGCTTGCTGGATTTTGATCCCACCCAGCATACTTGAGTTTTTCACTGCACGGATATATAATAGTGGTAAGTTCTAGAAGCAGGCATTTCTTCTTGCTTTTTCTTTTTAGCACGATGTACAGTTTGCCTTTTCTCAAGATAGGTGTAATAGCTTTTTTAATCTTCCAACAGGTTTTGCCTGCCCACCTAAGAAAATAAAGCAATGGAGACTGAACAACAGGAAGAGACCTTCACCAACACAGAGACAAATGGTAAATTTTTTAAAGAACTGTTTCTTTTTAGAAAGAACCTCTTTAGATTTCTAAATATTTTTTAATGCTCTAATTGTATTAAACGTTTGTATTGGCAGTTTTGCATTCTGCATTATTTTCATTTTTAATTAGACCATATAATTACTCAAGCTTTTGAAGCATAAATGAATAATTTTTCTGTTGGCATGTTTTAGACATGGGATAAGGAGCTGAAAGTTATGACTAAGGATTTGAAAATATTTCATAATTAAATATTCAATACTTGTGTGGAAAGCGTGAATATGTAAGAATATTATCAGGCTTATCCATTAATTGCATTTTGTTTATTGCAGTGTTTACATGCAGAAGTATAAATATGTAAAGTACCTCTAAAGAACTTAATGAAAAACTTCTTGGGCATAATTAGTGGGGAAGTTAGGGCATTAGCGTTATTGGTTCATGCCATTTTTTTCCAAACAGTATTTGAAGTGCTACTTTACTATTCTTCCACCAGTATTTCAGTGTTGGACAAAACTACATTTAAGCTTTCAGACTGAAAGGTTTTTCCCAGTTATGAATTGTAAATAAATATTAAGTGGGTAATGCTGCACTGCTTTAAACAGTGTGTCATGAATTTCTCACTGACTACATGAAGCATTCTCATTTAAAGCATAGTTTGTAGATCTTAAAACAATTTTCAGTAGTTAAATCGATGCATAAGCTGATGAGGTGAAGACTTGTTTCTATGCTGTGGATGCTCAGAGTAGACATCACTAGTGTTGGGCCAATAAGAAGGAATGCATTAAGAATACAGAGCATAACTTTGGCATGTGTTTCATTTTATTATGACTTAGAAAGTTAAATAAATGTTTGTGTTTCTCCCCTATGGACCTCTCTACAGGCAAACGTCCCGCAGAAGATATGGAGGAAGAGCAGGCCTTCAAAAGATCTCGGAACACAGATGAGATGGTTGAATTACGCATCCTGCTTCAAAGCAAAGTATGCTTTTTTGGTTTTACTGGGTTTGTTTATGGCATTGCTCAAGATGGTGGTGGCAAAGTGTCTTTCTAAACATATGATGGTCATGTGTTTAGAAAGACTATGGAATTTATTTAGGAAGAGATAACTTACTAGGAATAATTTTAAGTGTTTGTGAGTGGTAGTAAAAGTGTATTGCAATGGAATTAACTTCAGTGGTTCTTTTAAAGGGTAAGTCCATAAGAATCAACACAGTTATTTTAAAAATATGTACTTGCTGAAAACATAGAACAATAGAAATTATAAGGTGTTTTTACACCACTTCCACCACTGAGTGGAAGGTTATTATTTTGAGGGGAATGGCTGTGTATTTGGCTTCCTTTGGAAAGGAAGCAGTTTAGAGAATGATCAGCTAGTGATTGTAAATTAAATATGAGAGGTAAGATGAGAATTTCCTTAGATTTTGGTAACTCTCCCAAAGGGATCTACTAAACTTGTTCAGATACAACAGCAAGAAATGTGGGATTGCAATGGTTTCATTGAGAAGTGTGAATAGTTACAATAAAGTTGTTATGTATGAATTTTCTCTGGTGATGATTTGTACTTTCTGAAGTATCTCAGTCTTGTGTTGGTATTGGAGAACGTTGCTTTAATTGTGTGAGATTTCTGATCAATAGTCAAGTTACGTGGGCTATGGTTAAATGTTTTGCATGCTGTTAGCATAATGTATGATCTGTGTAATAAAAGCATTACTTTTGCATGTAATCTTTGAAATAACCTGGTAAAAATATAGTTTTGCAATTACTCTTCTTGACTATCTGCCAGTTTATTCTAGTTGATGTTAGAAACTTGAAGTTAGTGGCTGTTAACTTTAACCTTTTTCAGAATATACTGCCCTGAGAATTCAGTTGTTTGATGTATAAACCAAAATTAGCACTTGAAATTATCAAGAGTGCAGAAGTGGAATTTGCAAACATATTCTAGAACAGAAAATTTAAGAGGGGGGGGGGGGGGGGAATTAGGGAAATCATTGACCTACATTACATTCATACAGGTTTTTTTCTTGAGAGCTATGGTCTATGAGACTGCTTTAACACAGGCAGATTTGCCTAGAAGTTTCCATTTGGAATTGAAATATTAATTGCAGAACTGGATATCCTTCATTTCCTAAGTTCAGTAGTAAAAGCTGTTGGGTCATTTTTTCCATGAACAAACTACATCAGTTTGTTTCAATTTGATACGAACCTTTCAAAAGCAGTGCCTGCCTCCCCCACACCCCAGGCCAACATCTTAATGCAAAACTAGATTTACCATTCCTAGTCTTAAGTTCAAAAATGTGGTCTGTACTGTGTTGGCGTAACATAACTTCTGAAAACTGTTTTCCAGAACGCTGGAGCAGTGATTGGAAAAGGTGGCAAAAATATTAAGGCACTTCGTACAGACGTGAGTATATATGAGTTTGAACTAATTTAACACCAATTCTTTCAGAGCACTACATCAAAAGCTTGATTGAGTACATTTCTAGAAATGGGAGCAAATCAACTCTAGACATCAGGAGTCTAGTTACAAGCCATTTGTAATAATTGTTAAAGTAGATACCTTAGTTTTTCAATTTCTATTGTAATTAAAACCCAGCTTGACTCATGTGGGAAGAGAGGTTTATATTAAATCTCTTCACTTCTGAATAGGATTCCGCTAAATTACACACTTCAAGTGAGTTAACATCCTAATTAGAAATATCGACAAAGCTAAAAACCCTTAACTGTACCACTTCCCATACGTGTGAATCAATTATAATACTAAAACCATTGCAGGTGGCTGGCTTAACCCAGTGATAGAGGAATTCTTTAACTTCCTTTAAAAAAACCCAACCAAACAAACCAGTCCCATCTGTTCTTTAACAGCTTGCACATGAAGCACAAAAGCATTAATGTTAAGATTGCTTGATGTAAATATGGGTATAGAACAGTAAAGGAACATTGTGTTCTGTATTTGGAAGCATTTTTAAACAGTCATGACTTACTACCTATCCACATTTTACAGTGGATTGACTCTTGTGATTAGACACATGCTCAGCATTAATGTTGTGTCTTTATAAAACTTGGCAACGCTTCTTAAATATCATTTGTTTACACTCCTGTACTTAACATCAACTACAACTTCCAACAGTTTTTCCAATCAAGACTGTTCAACAAAGATTTGGTAATATATCATTATAAATCAGTTCCAGCTAAGTTCATAAACTACCACAACTAGAATTGAGGCTTAAGTTTAAATGGTCAGGAATCATACATTTGCTCACTAACTATGGCAGCCAGGTGGTTTTTTTAGGGTGTTTTTTGTGGGTTTTTTAAATTTCTTTTTTTTAAGTAAATAAGTCACCTATATCCAGATAATTTAGACTGATCTGGAAAACTTAACTTTCCCGATTTGCCCAAGGTTCTAATAATACCGGTCTTGACAGGGTTTGTGTCTAACCCTCATGAGCCAGCCTGCTACTGAAACATCATATGTTAAAAGTAAAAAGTAGTTTAGTCAGATCAAGTGACTCTTTTTTTTTTTTTTTTTTTTTTCCATACTGTTAAGCCACAGTTGGTGTAGCAATCCGTTATTGTGTTAGTCTTCAGAACAACTTAAGCTTGTTTCATTAATTGAGAGTAATGAGTATAGTTTGTATTAAATTAAAATTTATTGCTTTTCCCCCTTTTCCCTCTCCTTGTTTTTTTGGCCATATATCTCCGTTGCCCATGTACTGGATCGACTTGCCCCTGCGTTGCCCACCATGACGTTGGCCCATCCGCCCCTGAACGCCCATGTGAAAACCCTGGTTGGCTATGCCCAAAAATGTGCTCGTTGCCAAACGGGTACCATACTTGACAACTTCTGATTGAATGCCCATGCCCAATGCCAACATCCACGAACGCCAATGACCAATGCAGTACAATGCCAGTGTTTCAGTCCCAGACAGCAGTGGCCCCGAGCGGTATGTCCCAACAGTTTATGCCTCACTGCCTGATTAGAAAGAGAGAAATGTATTTTATTACCTGCCTTTGATATAATTAAATAGTATCCCCTTATAGACGGTGTATTGTTTTTTTTTCAAGTTTTCTGTCTTATTTTCCCCATTAAGTCTTTTTGTCACTGAACTTTTACGTGAGTTGCCCACCCAGACAATCCACTAATTTTATTTCAATGGAAGGAGCACAGCTTCAAGTGTTGCATATTTGCTGCATTGTAAATCAAATTGTTTCAAAGTAGTGTCTCGCTCTGTCTTTGTGGCCCACCTTGCTCCCCTCAACATTGCCTGTTCATAATTATTTCTGATGAAATGCTAACTCTGGTTCACTTTTCTTCACTTCTCATTTGTTTTGTCTTTTCTTTTTTTTTTTTTTTGTCTTGCATTTGTATTTGTTTTCTTGGAGAGCCCATTAGTAATCTGATTTCTAACTGGTCTCATAACCTTACTCCAGATACAATGTTCACCACTTGCATATCCCCACTTTTTCTATGAGAAGGTGTGCCAGTTTTACCAACGTAATAGTGAGGATATCCTAAATTAGTGGTGGCGGGGAACATGAATATTCACTACTACTCTCAGTTCTGCCTCAGTTTCTTGCCCACTTAATCTGAGCCCTTCCAAACGCCAGTTCTTGTCTTTCTTTCTCTCTCTCTCTCTCTGCAAGACCTACCTAATCTTAAATTTATCATGCATATATATTGGGCATAAACAAAGATGCATGTGTTGTAAATTGAGCAAACAGGTTTACTTTAAATGGGGAATATTAATTTTAAGCTCTTCTGTATAATCTTGTTAGAATATTGTGTGATGAAAAAAATTTACTTCTACTTCTTTTTTCCACCTTCTGCATATTGTCTGGCATTATGGCCTCCAACAGTATCTTGAGTATAAGTGCAGATATAGAGACAATTGGAGAAATCTTGAAGAAGATTATCCCTACTTTAGAAGAGGTATGTCTCCTAATGTTTTTTCTTTTTAGACATAAGAGATCAGCTTTTGAAACAAGATGGCTCTAGATAATTTATTGCTTTGTAAATATGGTAAATTAGAAAATGAAACCCAAAAGCCTTTTAAAGAAGAGTTATGGCTCAGACTACTTGTTGGCATTTTTTGGTAGAGGACAGTCAGTCACTGTTAAAGTAATGTTTCAAATAGTCTTCCCCCCTTCAGAATAATTGCCTCCTGACTTGTTTTGTCCCTATTTTGAAGTAGCTGTATTATGACTTGTATTCTGTGTTGATGTCTTAAGTAAGAGTGTTGCACTGTTTCATATCTTCTTAAATCTTTGTAGATTTGCAGTGTAATGTAATAAGTAAGGAAAACTGATTTGACATCAGTTTATATTGAGGTGAGGTGCTTAAATGCTTGTGATCCTATCGAAGGAAATACATGATTACAATTTAGCAATAAATCAATTCATACCATTGTGTTTAGAGAAAAAACTTAACAAACCCCCAAATATTTTAAACTTCTTGGTGAATAATATTTTATCTTTCTCCTGTATGTGTCTTTCTTACAGTATCAACACTACAAAGGCAGCGACTTTGACTGCGAATTAAGACTTCTCATTCACCAGAGTTTGGCAGGAGGAATTATTGGTGTCAAGGGTGCTAAAATTAAAGAACTAAGAGAGGTACTTGTTTCATATTCTTCTGAAATTTGTTTTTTGTTCAATGAAGAACTTGATGTTTTGTGTTCATAAGGGGCAAATTAGTAATCTTCTGTGCAGTGATTGATTCAGAACGTACAGCATAGGTTGATTTTGATGCTCTGAGATGGATCTGTGAGTTGCAACTTTCTTGCAAAAGCTCAGAAGTAAAGTTGTTTGTGATAGAGCCTAGGACTTCTTACCAAGCTCATAGGCAATATTTATGGTAGAGTTAAGAAAGCAATTTTTTTTTTTAATTACTATGACATCCATCACTCTTAGAATGAACTGCTGCGTAGACTAGATTTATTCATGTGGTTGGACATGCATAATGGTTTAGGGTGAATACATCTCCACAAACTCTTGTGATGGTAATTTTGATAGATGTCTGAATTTTACTGTGAAAGGCCTTTATATATTTTCTTGACATGTGAAGATTAGTACAATCTATAAGCTTGCAATGGATATGTGGTCTTTTTGCTACTATTTAGTTAAATGATGGTGTAAACAAGCCATAAGTGAAAGAGAAAATTGAAACTTTTTTCCTCTTCATACAAAGCTATGTCAGCACAGATCTTTAAAAAAAAAAAGTAATCCCAAAATTAAATTTTTGAAAACTCAGAAACAAGCATGCACTTAAAATGGCTGGGAATTTTAAATGTCTTTTTGATTGTTTCTTTAGAAATGTTTTAATGGGCTTATGAAATTGTTTAAAATGCTTACATTAGACAATCTTGGGGTATTTTTTGTTCAACAGAACACTCAGACCACCATTAAGCTCTTCCAAGAGTGTTGTCCTCATTCTACTGACAGAGTGGTGCTTATTGGTGGAAAACCTGATAGAGTCGTTGAATGTATCAAGATTATTTTGGATCTTATATCTGAGGTAATGGTTTTTTTCATTTTATTCTTTCACTGGCATTCATGAATGTTAGGGAACATTTGGGTGAAAAATGTTACCTTTCATTTCCTGTTTTGAGTTCAGTATTGTCGCTGTAGAGATGGACAGAGTCACACACACACACTCACTCTCACGGGTGAACAAGCAGCTAGGTTTTTAATACTAAAAGCATGCATTTTTATATATTTCAGGTGCCAGAGTTTTTACATTCTTATTGGATAACCTTTATCAGTTTCCTCCCTGCTTGCTTCATCCTGCTACATAGTCAGCAACTCCTTGAAAGTTATTTGCTTTAAGCATAGCTTCCTTATCTCAAGGGTACACCAGAATCTTGTCAAAGTCAAACTCTTCTTCAATCCGGTTATTGACAGACCAGCTGCCTTCCCAGACAAGTACCTCATACTTTCACAGTAACAGAGTGATTGACTGTTACCACCTTTTGAAAGTATTTCAACTTTCTAGAATCCCCCTACCTTATGGGTGAGGGAAGCTATTTTTGGTACCGGTGAGCCATTATTCATGCTTTGCATATGGTGTGGTTAAATCTGGTTGGCAGCCAAACACCATGCAGCCTCTTGCTCACCCTCCCCCTGTCCCAGAGGATGGGGGAGAGTTGGAAGGGTAAAGGTAAGAAAACTCAGAATTGATATAAGAACAATTGAATAGTTGGAATAAAGTAAGATTAAAGTAATAATAATAGTAATAATAGACTATACAACTGAGTAATGCATGGTGTGATTGCTCCCTACCCACTGACCAATGCTCAGCTGGTTCCTAGCTAGCAATCCCAGAGGAGAGAATCCCAAAACCACAATCCCAGAAGAGAGTGAGCTTCCCAGCCAACCCTCATATACATGCTGAGTATCATGTTCTGCGATATGGAATATTTCATTGGCCAGTTTGGGTCTGTTGCTCTGACTATGCTCCCAGTTTCTTATGTATCTGCACACTAGCAGGGCATTGGAAAGTTGCAAAATACATTATTCTGTAGCAACAACTAAAAGCATCAGTGTATTATCAACATTCTTCTCATGATAAATCCCATACTAAATCCAAAACATAGCACTATTGTGGCTGCTAAGAAGAAAAATTCCCAGCTGAAACCAGGATAGCATATCATTAAGAAGCAGAAGTTGAAGAGGAAGGGAGACAAAATATATTTGCCATTGATCAGTAACAGTAGTTTCTCTGTCATAGTTAAGTTCACAGAAAACACATCGTCATCTCCTCCCTTCTTACCAGCATTGTGAAATTAGAGCATTCCAAATGCATATGTTAATATTTATACCTTTAACATAATTATTTAAAGATGCAATTGTAATAATTCTAATTAGTTTGTGGGGATTGTTCTGTTTTAGTCTCCAATTAAAGGACGGGCCCAGCCTTACGATCCGAATTTCTATGATGAAACCTATGATTACGGTGGCTTCACAATGATGTTTGATGATAGAAGGGGACGTCCAGTAGGCTTTCCGATGCGTGGAAGAGGAGGTTTTGATCGAATGCCCCCTGGTCGTGGTGGACGCCCTATGCCCCCATCAAGAAGAGATTATGATGATATGAGCCCTCGCAGAGGACCTCCACCACCTCCACCAGGTCGTGGTGGGAGAGGTGGCAGCAGAGCTCGTAATCTTCCTCTTCCTCCTCCACCACCTCCTCGAGGCGGGTGAGTTGTTGGGTAAATGCATTATACAAAGCTCAGGTTGTGTATAATCTCCTGAATCATGTTCATTTTTGCAGTGTTTTTATCATGCTTCCATGTTGGTGGTGGTTATGCAGGATTGAGTGTGTATTAGACCAGAGTATTTTAAAAAGTACTGGAATTCAATTCTTTGCTGCACTTTACTAATCTACCAGGACTATAGTCATTAATTCTGAAACTTTTATGTCATTCATTACTTGGCTAGAGTAGTTTAAAATTAAGTTGTTTGTGAACTGTGAATGTGAAAACTTAGAATGAGAAAACTTAAATTAGAATAGGTAAACTATAATGCAGTTCACATTCTGCTGCTTCTTTCATTTTAGAGATCTTATGTCCTATGACCGAAGGGGAAGACCAGGAGACCGATACGATGGCATGGTACGAGTTTAAAATTTGCATTGTTCTGTTTTCGTAAGCACAGTTATCATGCATTTAAGCGTGGGACATGCATGGTTCTGATGATAGAACCTAATGTTTTGTCCATACAAATGGTCCCTCCTGTGGAGGAATGTTTGGGGTGTAAGTGGTATCTGACACATGATCCATTTCCTTTTTTTCCTCCCTGCCATTAAAAATAATATGGAAAATTTGTCTGTGCTCTACCCTGTGCGTTTGCTTGAACTGACTGTCTTTTAGATGTTGTTTTAAATCAGGATGATATAAATAAATATTGGTAGGCTTTCCAGATAAAGGAAACAGATCAGAACAACATTCTCTGAAATGCTTGGATATATATAATCATTCTTAACACTAATGTTGGAAAACATGAGTATAGATAGAATAATACTGATTATGGAATCGTATCTATGAGAGCTCCAGTTGATCACTCTAAGATGATTGCTCTTTTGACAATTCTTGTCTATTTGCTGGTTTCCCTGTCCACAGAAAATCTACTGTAATTCCAAATGTTTTGGAACTAGGGCCACTTCTCAGCTGAATCCTAAATTAAATAAGATGCATTGAGCTGTATTAATACTAGTACTTGTTGGGGGAAAAAGATCTGTCACAGTATATGGAAGCTTAAAAGAAGTTTTAAAGATACTCTTCCATGTTGCATTATGAAATGTAACTTCCCAGCAGTCATCACCTGTGGTACTAGATTGCTGTTTCATGGAAAGAGAAATCACGTATCTGGAAGTTAAATCTCTGTAGTAACGATCTTGTTTTCTCCTCTGCTTTGGTTGGCACCTTCTTTAAGATGACACATGAGGCAAGAATTTTTTTTTTTTTATTTATTTTAAATTAAGAGAAAGGAGTGGAGAAGAGATGTGAAGCTAGGTGCCTAAATGGGCTTTACACGTTTCCTTCCTCCTCGAGCGTAAGAGTTACTGGAAGTACATGTTGCAAGCATGTCACATGCTTATTAGACATTCTAAAAGGAAAGATTTACACAAAGTTACAAAATAGTGTTACCCATGCTACTGTACATGTTAAGAAACTGGAAGAATTGAGAAGTACACCTCTAAGATTCCATATTTGTATTTACGTGTTTTCAAAGCTCAGTCCTTGTGTTCTTGTATTTGCAGCTAATAAAGCCAGTGCTAGAGCGTATAAACTGAGCACCCTGCCCTTCTTTGGCTATCTGGTTGAGCACAGTCTTACTCAGCTTGACTCTTGGGCAGTAGCATGTTCTATTTTTATTCCATTCTGGCTAGAATAAAAGATCCATTTTGACTTTTGCTTAGCCTGACTTTAGTCAGGTTGGCTTCTGCTTTCTTGGCATGAGTTTTTAGAAAAGTGGAGTCATATCTGTTGCTTTGTTGGTGGTTTTTTTTGTTTTTTTTTAATTCCAGAAAGCAGTTTTATTTCTTCTTCATGGTGAAGGTGCTCATGGCTTTGGCTTCTTTATGACCAAATATCATGGACTGCTTCCCAACAAAAACTGTATTTAATTTCTAGTTTTCATTAACTGTGATGCTAGTATCCTAAGTTGTGTAAGCAGATAGGAAAGTCCTCATGTGGATTGTAAGGTTAGAGCGGTAAATACCATGCCAGAAATAGAAAGTCTTCCTGTGCCACCCTTTGTTTCATATAGAAACCATTCTCTAGTAAAACTAGAGTAAACCATTGTCATTGTGGTTTAAGAAGGTAATGCATGGGGGAAAGGCTGTTCTCCGAGAATGGAAGTGCTCTTTCAGATAGATTCTGTTTTATATAGATGCAATGAAAGATAAGAATAGATGCTTTTCTCAGATCAACATCTGAAAAATCATGGAAATGTTGAATGGACAGAAATAATCATTTTTTTGTTAGCCTTTTTTTTTTTTCCACTAAAGGCAGAAAGATTGAGTAGTTCAGGATTTTTAAAATTGGACACTGAACTGTGAATTTTCTAGAATTCCAGAGGTCCAACCGTATTGTCAGCCTTGTAAATGCTGAGATGAGAAAAATCCAGTTTGATTTTGAAAGATAGGTTAATTCCCTTGCCTATGCAGTCACCCAGCCTGTTAGCCTGGTGTACCTTGCTGTTTAATTATGCACAGCTGTTAAAAGCGTTAATTTGGTTTATAATCTCTGTTCTGAAGCATTTTCCAGAGGGACAGACCTGTATTGTTTCTCTAACAAAGCTATATATTTCAGTGTTTAACTACTCCAGATAAAATGCCTGTGGACCACAAGGGCTATTCTGATAGTTGAAAAGACCTGAATGTATTTCCAGTATTTATTTTTTAACACCTTTCAGGTACAAAACCACACACCAATACTAGTGGGAGGTGTGGACAAGCATATAAAGTCATTTTATCCCCTTGCCTCTTTTTTTAATTAACTGAAGATGTACTAAAATTTTCAGTGTACTAAAAATTTTAAAATCTGAGTTAATAGAGACTTAAATCAGAATGTCCCCTGCTAAGTGTACTGTCTCTTCAGACTAATGTGAGTGTCTTCAGACTTCTGATGTGCTTTTGCTCCTTCAGATTCTTCCTAATTCTCGATCTGTATTTTAACTTACACTTTTATGTGTATGTACGTGTGTCTTGATGTATAAATACTCAAAGGCACATATGCTTCAAAAAATACAATACGTTCTTCATGTTTGAGATGTGACATTAACATGCATGTAGTGAGTAAAAGAAGAATGTATGACAGCTCTTCTCTCTCTTCCAGCATCTGCATGTTAAAGTAACAAAAATTCTTTTAGGTCACTGTTAAAAAACAGAAAATTATTATAAAAGAATTTGACATCTGTTAGGACTGCATGCATTTTCTTTTAATAGAAGTTAAGCTCTTTCTGTATCCAGCCAGTGTGTCATCTGGCTTTTATTCTAGTACCAGTAGTCACTAGCAGAAATGAGTCTGTATTCTGCTATGTATGTTAAGATACCCTGTTTGAGTAGCTGGTTTTAGAGTGCACAAATGAGCATCAATTGTTGAAACTGTAGAATTTTTAAAGATGCTATATGACACGTTTTAAAAACAATTAAATTTCTATTATAATTAGCAGTAGATTGTTAGTCTAGTTATTGGCTTTTATGAGGTATATGGAAATGAATTGGTAGAATATGAGAAGTGGTGTCTTCATACTTGAGCTTCTGTTTGCATAATTGCTGAGAAGTTACTCATTTCAATCATATTAAACCTTCATTTTTTGACACATGACAAAAACACATTTTTTTTTTTTTTTAACACATGGCAGAAATAAATTTTGATACATAATAGCACTTAAAGGTATTCTAAGAGAAGGGGAAGAAAGCTTGTTTTGCTTTGCTCTGCCATTAGCTGTCTGACCCGTGTTACAGAAAAAATCTGTTTACATTACAGAAAGGGGAAAAAGTGTGACCACCTAAAGTTGCCTCAGAGTGAAATGAAAAGGGACTGAGTCTTAAAAGTGGTCTAAATAACAAACTCTTTGTTGTAGTATAAATGTTTCCTTCTACCAGTATGTATTGCATTTGCTTGCCAAGTTACCTATATGTCTATATGACATTAACTTAATTCAGATTTCTTTCTTCTTTTCCTTCTATTATTTTGTATTTGGCAGATGATGCAGTGTCATGTTGATGCGTGTGATGACATGCAGCCACCAGAGTTGGTGAGTGTGCTTAACCATTTTTTTGAAAACTGCTTTATTGAACAGATTAAGTGATAATAGGAATAAGATCAAGATATTCAAGAATGTATTCCTGAATGTAGTTCTTGACATTAAGACAAGATTATAGTTAGTGACAACTTGCACCTGTTGAAAATCATAAAACTATCCTTCTCACTGAGAGTTTATTGGCAGTTTGTCTTAACAGTGTGTCCTGTGCAGGCAGGTAGTGTTAATAGAAATGTGGAAGTATGCAGTAGTACAACCAGAAGAGAAAAGCTGTTCTGTGTCTATTTTTGCCTCTTACACCCTATTTTCATGTTTCATGTGAAGAGTAACTTTCTCCATAACTGATGCACTGTAGATGTATCTTTAGGATGTATTGTATTAACTTCATAATGTTGGGTTTTCTCCTATTTCAAACAGCAGATACTAAAAGTAGCTTCTTAATTAAATTTTTGTGGATAAACTATTAAGCTTTAATTATTGATGTATTTGAAAATGTACCATTTGATTGGATAGGTTTTGGAAAGGGAGGTTAGGGGATCTTCAGGTGTTCATGATGTCTAAAAGATGGCAAAGTGGTGCCAAATATTAATGTCACTTTTTAGCTTACATTTGCTGTGTTTACGTAACTGCCTAACTCATCTGCTGTCTGGTTCATTTGCTGTCCTGTAGTCTGGGGAGGCAGAAACAATCAAGGAAAGGATTGTTCTTTAAAACAGATTAGTGCACAAAGGGATACTTTTGGCAAATATCATTGGGAATATGTCTGTGTATATGCAGAGGCTGATGAAAGCAGTGTACTGAATTAAGTCTTAAGCAGAGTCCTTCATTCTTTTGTATGTTGGAGTCCACTACAAACTATTACGTTGTATTGCTGAGTAACGTGATTACACAATATAAGTTGCTTGGAGACGGAGGATAAGATCAACAGTTTGGTCCAAGTAGCTTCCATTTTGATCTTCCAAAAAGGTAGCAGGTAAATAACCATTTTGGGAAAAGTTGTTTTGTTACAGTTCTGTGAACAAGTAGTTGTGGTTGGTTGAACTTGGCTGGCTGCCGACTGGCTGCCAGGTGCCTACTCAGCTGCTCTCTCACTTCCCCTCCTCAGCAGGATGAGGGGAGAAAGTAAGATGGAAAAGCTTGTGGTTCAGGATAGATAGGGATATCACTAGTTAACCGTCATGAGCAGAACAGAGTTGACTTGGAGAACATTAATTTATTGTCACTTAAAAATAGAGCAGCATGGTAGGAAACAAAGAGGAAAACTAAAAGCACCTTTTCCCCACCCCTCACTTCTTTCCAGGCTTTTAACTTCATTCCTTCATTTCCTACTTGTTGGAACTAGATGAACTTTTAAGATCCCTTCCAACCCAAACCACTCTGATTCTTCTGCCATGAGTGGTACAAGGGGGATGGGGAATGGTGGGTTGCAGTCAGTTCATCACACTTTGTTCCTTCTCCTTCACACAGTTCCCCTGCTCCAGTGTGGGGTCCCTCCAGTGGGATACAGCTGCTCACCAACTGCTCAGATATGGGTGTTTCCAATGGACTTGCAGCTCTTCAAGAACTGCTGCAGCCTGGGTCCTCTTCATGGGGTATAGTCCTTCAGGAACAGACTGCTCCAGTGTAGGTCACCCACAGGCCACAGGTCCTGCCTGGTGCTTGCACCTGCACCTGCTTGGGCTCTCCACAGGCTGCATCTTCCTTCAGGGCATACCTGCCCGCTCCCAGCATAGCATCTTCCATGGGCTGCAGTGTGGCTGTCTGCTCCAGTGCGGTTCTCTCCATGGGCTGCAGAATACCTGTTACAGTGCCTGGAGCACCCCTTACTACTTCACTGTGGTCTCTGTGGGGTTGTTTCTCTTACTTTTTTTCCCCATCACTTAGCTCCCTCAACCAGTGCACACTGGATGGGGTTTTTTTAACCATTTCTTAAATGTTATCATAGAGGTGCTACCAGCTTTGTAGGCAGCAGTGGGTCCATTTTCATGTTGGCTAAAACTTGACAACTGGCTTTGTCTGGCACAGGGGCAGCCCCTGGCCTGTTTTCACAGAAGTGCCCCCAGCAGTCTCCCAGAAGTTGAATTTGGGACAATTGCACATATTTATTCTCTGCTTCTATAGGAAAGGATAAAAATGGGTTCTTGAGCACTTAGAAGGCATTAGATGAAACGTAGACCAGTATTTGACATCAAATGCTTCAAATCCTAAAAATTAAGAGGCCGGGAGTGCTTGTTGCAGTGATTTGGATTTGGTATATGGTGGTTTTAGCAGAACAGTAAGTAACTTGCACCATGGTTATCGGTTCAAACAATTTATTCTCTGTACAAATGATTATAGTATAGTCTGAATTGAGAGGTTACAGAGCTATGCTTAAGACCTTTGTTTTTTTTCCCTGAAGATACAGATAAAGTAAGAGAATTGACAGTCACCAGGTAAACCTTTTGTCCCAAAAGTGGAGACTTGAGTCTCTCCTGAGCTGTATTGATAGCTGACAGCATTAATAATTTTCCTTCAAGTGTTAGTTTAGTCCCTTTAGGGTCAGGAGTAGGTCAGCATCAAGAGCTGTCCACCAGCAGCTGAATTAGTGAGACTGCTTGGTAAACTGGTACAGCTGGATCCTTTGTCATCGTACACCTTACTCCTAGGGGTTTTGACAAGGCAGAGTAAGAGGTTGGTGAGATTTCCCCATCACCCCCCCCCCTTTTGATTCTGTTCTGCCCTCTTTGCCTCAGGATGTCTTTAACAGCACAACACTGTTCTATTTATAGGAAGGTTGGTGGTTGAGATTTTTTGCATAAAACAGACTCAGAGTTAACAGTAATGATACTTAATATGAAAATATGCTAATGAAGCATGGCTATTCAATATTGAAGGTTTTTTTCTCTTTCTCTTACAGTTTGAGGGTGGATCTGGATATGGTAGGTGTTTATATAGATCCTTTACATATACTTCATTATGTAGTTACTAAAGGACTTGATGCATACATTTAAATCAGATTATTCTTATGCAGGGGGACGCGGTTCATATGGAGATCTTGGTGGACCCATCATCACCACACAAGTAACGATTCCCAAAGATGTAAGTAAAGTTGACTTGCTTTCAGCTTGTGTTTTCTCTTAAAAAAAGAACAAAAAGTCATAGCCTTTTCTTGTACTGTGTAAGTAAATCAGGAGTATTTAGGGTGCTTGATAAGTACTTCCAATACAAAACAAGTGCTTCTAAGTCACCAAAAGTATTCTTCATGCATTTGTTTTGTCTTTACTTTAGAGATGTACTAAACAATTTTATTAATTGCTAATATTGAGTAATAGAGATGGTCTCTGCAACTTGGTTTTTGCAAATGAGCAACTGGTTCTCCTAGTTTTATCCTACCTGTGTTTATACAATTCATGTTGCAGGGGATGTTTTGATGCTGTAAAACAGTAAGCTTCCACTGCAACTTCTAACACAGCATACGGAAGCTACTCAAACACAGCTGTGATTTTTATAACTATTTTTGAGAGTGAAAGTTGTATCAGGAAATGAATGCTTTGCTTTCTCCCCTAGTTGGCAGGATCTATTATTGGAAAGGGAGGCCAGAGAATCAAACAAATACGTCACGAGTCAGGAGCTTCGATCAAAATTGATGAACCCTTAGAAGGCTCAGAAGATCGGATAATAACTATTACAGGAACACAGGACCAGATACAAAATGCACAGTATTTACTGCAAAACAGGCAAGTTAAAGTTCAGCGTTGTCCCTAGTGTCAATTTTAAACTGAAATGTACATTCTAAATCTGCTCTTCTCTGATACAGTTTTTAGAAGGCAGGTTTTAAGTAACTATTTGAATCTAACTTCTCCAGTGGTAGTTCTGCCTTGATTTTCTTCTGTTCTACATTCTAATTAAAATGAAGACACGCTCAAAACTAATCTTGCTGGAAGACGCCTTAACCAAGCAGTCCTCTCATTTCTCTGGTGAAAACTGCTGCAAAAAATACTTGTAATAAATTACATAGAGCCTGTAGAAAATATAGAAGATTTCAGTGGATGTTGGCCTAGTTCTGTGTGGAAGACTAGTGATTTTGTTGTTTTTAGATAACTAAATTGACAACAAATCACAGTCTGCCATATGGCACAGACCATGCCTCTACAGGACAAGTTGAAATCGATTTGGTGCTGTTATGCAGCATTTCACACCTTGCTGACATTACTTTGTCTTTTCTGCCAAATACTAACAGCTTCAGATTAATTTGCTTAGTTTTGGTTTATTAACATGATGGCTGTCATAGCAGATTTTAATGCTTTAACTTGAATGTTTGGCTTTAGATTACTAATATTTAAATGTGCCTAAAATAAATAAAATATACCTATATTTATTAGCCATTAATATTTTTAAATTATTTTAAAATGTATTAGGAATTTGATTTAATCTGCTGTAAGAATGTCATTGTGAATGTTGATTCAAGATGTATGGTCCATCATTCTAATACATGCTTTTTTTCTTTTTCTTTTATAGTGTGAAGCAGTATGCAGATGTTGAAGGATTCTAATGCAAGATTATTTTTTCTTTTTTATAGTGTGAAGCAGTATTCTGGAAAGTTTTTCTAAGCCTAGTGAAGAACTGAAGGAGTCCTGCACCCTTTTTTTTTTTTTTTTAT